TTGATTCAGATCCAGGAGACATTCCATCAAGTCATTCCACTACCACTGCTCAACCTCCATTATCAAAAGTTCAAACTAAAAAAAGCCCAACTCGAATTCAATCTACACCTATTCCAGATTTTGCCTCAGTTGATCCTATACTACCTCGACGATCTGAAAGAATTAGGGAAAAGATGCTACACGAACCACAAAGACCCTGATTTTCTGGAAGGATTTTCTTCGCCAAAAGACTCCGCAGAGTTTTTGGCTGGTGGGAAGATATAGGGACATCCCTAAAAAAGAAGCAACTCTCGGTTTTCAACTTTACGAACGTAGATAAGTATTAATTTAGTTTCGAAAAACAAACAAATAAATCGATTTTAAATACTTTTACTTTTCAAGAATTTTGTTAAATAAAGTTATTAAAGTTTAACTTAGTTATTTTTTGCGTTGTCAATATATAAGGTCACAACAAAACATATTAACGCCAAACATTCGGTAGAATTTATAGAATATTGTAAAAATTATGGTCTATTACCAACATATATATATATATATATATATATATATATATGACGGAAAGAATTTATATATATATATATATATATATATATATATATATATATATATATATATATGACTGTCAGAAATGCAATTATTGATGAAAATCACAGCGTGTTCCGCGTTAGTTAACTTCCAATTTAACTTTTCGATTTTTCTAACAGTTTATCGTAAATCATTTTTAAGTTTCTTTAGTTCAAAACCAAAATTTTTGTTTATTTTATGCATAATAGAACAGACAACAACAGCATATCAATTTGAACACCGAAGATGATATAGGAATACCGAAAAAAGCTTTTCCTCTATATACAGAGATGGGCAAATTACACACTATATTGTAATTTTGATAACTTTTACCCAAATTACTGTTATGCCATCACAAAAAAAAACAACGGCCCCTAGTCCCCAGCAAGCCTTAAGTGGTCAAGGGTTGCCAAGAATCCATGGGAAGTATGCAATAGCGGAGGGATGTTGCAGAAAAATTCAGAATAGCCCCTCTATGGTACTAACTTGGAACGCTCAATGTTGGATCACTGACTGGCCGCAGCATGGAAATCGCAGAAATGCTTGAGCGTAAAAGGAATGAAATCTGCTGCCTTCAGGAAACCCGATGGAAATCAAATGGTGTCCGTCATGTCAACTCAAAGAAAAATATAAACTATTCTGGAATGGTCAAAAGACGGCCAAAAATGATGTTGGAATTTTTGTCAGAGAACCGCTAGCCCAAGAAGTACTGGATATTAAAAGGATTAATTCACGTCTCATATGGATTAAGCTTCGCATAGAAAAGCAAACTATGATTATTATTTCTGCATACGCACCACAGACAGGCGAATTAGAAGAGATGAAAAATGACTTCTGGGCTGCATTCTCTGACAACATCTCAACAATACCAAAATCTGAAACAATCCTGATTGGAGGCGATCTCAATGGCCACGTTGGAGAGAAAGCAGATGGTTTTGACAACGTACATGGCGGTTTTGGCTATGGGAAACGGAATGAAGATGGCAACCGCATCCTTGATTTTGTTGAGTCACGGGTTTTGTTTTGTTTGTTTGTTTTCTCTAGTCAACTATATGCTGATGATTTTTACATTTATACTTCTTTTCCTCCATCTAATCTCAATAGTGTTCTTCATAATATATCTCTATGTCTTTCTTCAATTATCGCTTGGTCTGACTCTATGTGTCTTAAACTTAATCCTTCTAAGTTTGAATTAATTTGTTTTAATAAACCTAAACACTCTATTACTATTCCTCCTATTATCTTACCTGATTCTAAAACTCTTGATGTCTCTCATAAGTTTCGTAGTTTAGGTTTTATCTTTGATTCTACTATGTCTCTCTCTTCTCAGATTAATAGTGTTGCTAGAAGCTCTTACTTTCATCTACGTAGAATAAAAAAACTTTTGCCTTTTCTTGATGATCCTGCTCTTCTCCTTCTTGTTACTTCGTTAGTCTTATCTAGGATTGATTATTGTAACTCGCTCTACTATGGTCTTCCTGACTCTATACTCTATCCTTTAAGTAAAGCTTTTAACTCTGCTGCTCGTCTAGTTGCTCGTGCCCCTTTCTTTTCTCATATATCTCCATATCTTGTTCTCTTGCACTGGCTACCTATAAAATATAGAATAATTTTTAAAATTTGCACGTTCCTGTATAAGTCTCAATCTAAATTATTTCCTAATTATTTATCAAATATATTAATTGAATCTAAACGCCCCGGTTTACGATCATCTTCTTCTCGCTTTTTCTTAACTCGTGTTAAACACTCTTTTGCCAAATCTGCTTTTGCTTTTTCTGGCCTTTTTCTCTGGAACTCTCTACCTACTTCTCTGACTACTTCTCCATCACTTGCGAAGTTCAGAGCGGATCTCAAGACCCATCTGTTTTCAAAATTCATTGAGGAGCGCTGTTGAACATCGCGGAAATAGCGCTTTATAAGCTAATTAATTGATTGATTGATTACTGAACACATATTTTAGAAAAAGGTTGGAACATCTCATAACATACAAAAGTGGACCATCAGCCAAGCAAATTGATTTCTTCGCTGTCAAGCAAAAACACCGAAGGCTATTCAAAAACGTCAAAGTTATACCTGGCGAATCATGTGTCGCCCAACATAGACTCCTTGTAGCAGACCTGGTTGTCGAACTGTCAAAACATAAGTCTAAACAAATGCCTCGGAGAATCAAAACGTGGAAGCTGAAAAGCAATATTCATCGAGAAAAATTTCAACAGATTGTCGTCACACAGTTAGATCACCAATCGCAAGTCAGTACATATTGGAGTACATACAAAACCGTTTTAATGAACGCTGCAACTACAGTTTGTGGGAAAACTAATACAAAACATCAGCATGAACGGGACACTTGGTGGTGGAATGACAGTGTACAAAATGCAATAGCTGAAAAGAAAGTTGCATACAAGCAATGGCAAAAATCAAAGTCTATGATGACTATAACATTTTTCGTGAAAAGAACAACTATGCAAGAGGTCAAGTTGCACTGGCTCGGACAGATCAGTGCAGAGAGTGGCTCATTAAAAGCTAAGGTGAACAAATGAAATCTCTGTATCGTATAGCAAAACAAGCGAAGCGTACGAAAAAAGACATAGTTGGTGCCTCATGTATCAAAAACGAGATGGTTCTTGAACAAGATGAAATCAAGCTACAGTGGAGAGAATACTTCAACCGTCTGTTAAATGAAACAAATCCCATCAATGATAACTTTGACGCTCTACCCATCAAAGTTCCGATTCCAGACATCACTGTAGAGGAGCTTACGGAAGCTCTGAAAGCTATGAAGGATGGAAAGGCAGCAGGGCCCTCTGGACTCACAAATGACATTATCAAAGCATCTGGTACTGCAGGTATCCAAACGTTACTACAACTTTACCGTGAAATCTGGAAAAATTGCTCAATGCCGACTGAATGGAACTATAGCATGACAGTTCCGCTATACAAAGGCAAAGGTGATTCATTGAACTGTTCATCATATCGGGGTATACGTCTGTTAGAACACTCCCTGAAAATTGTCGAGAAAATCATTGAGAGAAGATTAACGTCGTGCATCAAAATCGGAAATTATCAATTTGGTTTACTAGCGGGGAAATCAACAATTGATGCAATTCACATCCTTCGGCAACTGCAAGAGAAGTACCTCTCAAAGCATCAACAACTATCACACATTTTTGTAGACCTTGAAAAAGCATTTGATCGAGTTCCCCGTGAAGGAATCAGTTGGAGTCTACGTCGACAAATCATTCCAGAATATCTTGTTCGACT